TCCATTTGTCCTATCTATCTATTGGCTGTTTCAAATGCTTTGTTTTCATAAAAAATTTGCCATAAAGAACTTTGTAGAATTACTGGCCCAAATTCCAATGTCTTAAAATTTGATCAAAGCTTACAAAAAGATGAAGGCAAAAAGTTCAAAACCAACCTATGAAAAATTGCCCAGAGGATAAAGAGGTTTCATTATTTTTCTAGACATGGTGTGAAAGGTCTCTTCTACGTCTTTCTTTATTAGCTGATATTATTATTATAAAGAGCTACATGTAGAGTATGCATCTCAAATGTTCTATATATATTTATTTGTTTGTGCTGCTATCCTACCACTAAGCTACATTCCTGGCTCTTCAAATATTTTATTGATGACCAAAACTTGAGGATCAGGAAGTGAGAGCGGAGGAAAGTCTCTATGTTCTAAACAGCTAAAGTCACCAATGCAGTCTCTGTGTCCCAATAGGCAAATGCTTTTCTAAGAACAAAAGAGATGGACCTTTTCAACTTTGCCTAGACTTGTATGGCCTGTTTCCACCGCCTATAATCCTGTCACCCAAATCCCAAGCCATTGTTCTTCTCCCACCTTTATGAATTTGTCACTGCCTTTTCTCAACACTGCAATCGTTCTTGATTAGAACATACAGACCAGGCTCCTCTTTCCAGTGGCCATTATGGTCCCTCTGCTCTTTGTTTAAGAGATTTATCCAAGATGAGCTTTGTTACTCTCCTTTGAATGCACCTTCATCCTTGAACAATTCATTATCTCTACCCCAGATTCAATGATTCTCTCGCTTCTCATTAGATTAAAAATTATCATATTGTGTGATGGTTGTTAGTTCATCTGCCATTTATCCACATCAGAGATGCCCTATCTACCCCTGGGTCCTCTCTTTCTGTACAGAGCCTGCCCGAGTGTGTGTGATGGTAGGTGCCTAGTATTTGTTGGAGGCATGCATGAGTGTAAAGCTCTGCTTAGGGACTGCTTTTGTACAGCTCCTGGAATGAAGGAGAAATTAACTGTGTGAATGAAAGACTATGTATGTGTATAGGATCGTGATCCCTTTTCTCCCAGATGATTTATAACATCTAGTTTCTATGGTTTGGACTTTGAGGTTTCCCAAAGGCTTATATGTTAAAGGCTTGGTCCCCAGCACGGTGCTATTGAGAAGTACAACCTTTAATAAGTGAGGCCCAGTGGGAGGGTTAGGGTTAGGGTTAGGATCTTCCCAGTCTTTCCATATTTTGATGAGCTAACAAGATTCCAAAAGGGGATCCTATGGTTTGGATAGTTTGACTGTATTCCCAAAGGCTCATGTATTGGTAGCTTGGAAATATTAGAGCAAGTGGAATCTTTAAGAGGTGGAGCTTAGAGCAAGATAATTAGGTTACTAAGGATGGTGCTCTTGGAAGGTATTAATGTAGTTTTCAGGGGACCCATGTTGTTCTCCTGGGATGGTTCTTACAAAAGTCAAGACCATCTGCTGTGTTGTGGGCTTCCTCTTTTGTGATATGATCTCTCCCTTTTGTACCCTCTCCTCCCATGATGCCACCCACTATAAGGAATTTACCAGAGACTGAATTAGTGGGGCTTCTCAATCTTGAGCTATCAGACTCTAAAATTATGAGATAAATAAATCTTTGTTATTGTCACCCAGTGCCAGGTACTTTTTTTATATATATATATAAAGATGGAAAACAGACTAACTTGGGGAACACAAGCCCCAGCTTCAACTTTAACACCAGGAAGGATGGCATAATGATCTGTTTCATTTACAACCTTTAGTGTAAAGTATCTACGTATAAGACTGTGGTCTCCAGCTCATGCCAATGCTGCAGTCCATGTAAGGGTAGCATAACTCTGTTCATTTAACCCTAGGGCCTGGCTGGTTGCTCTGAGGCACAGCTATGATTATGATGCTGGAGTTGGGAGTGGGTTCCTGTCTTTGTTTTGTTGCCAGAAGAAGCTGCTGTGTGGTAAGAAGCCATGTGACCTCGTGGGAAGTGCTGCCACTCTTGGAGAAGAAAGGTTGTTGTTGCCATTCTCTCTGCCACCCGTGATTTTAGACTTTAGGGGCCAGTGACAATGGAGGATGCTTATCTCCCCTCCAATAAGAGATGCCCCATGAAGTGGTTAGGGCTTCACCAAGACATGAAATATAAAATATTTCATTGTGGCTATTAGACTTTAGCCTGACCTGATCGCCATCTACCATTACAGTCAGAAATAGTTCTTGGAGGCTTCTGTGTCAAGGGTTGTGGTAGGAAGGGCTGAGTAAAGTTGTGGCCTATTAATTTAAGGCTTTCCACACAAATAAATTGTACACATATGTCAGACATACAGTTCATTTGCCTCTCCAGATTTTATAGAAGTGGGGCCTGAACAGCTCATTTTCTTCTCTAATTTTAGAGTACATGCTCTGGACATACTGTGTAGTGTAACACATAGTGCTGGGCAATGAGTGGTTGCTTCATGGATTTTTAAAAAATTAATTAAGTTTAATGGTACAGTA